GAGAGAGAGAGAGAGAGAGAGAAATAGACATGTGAACACACCAAACACACAACATAGTGCGCAAGTATGCACAGACACACACACACACACACACACACACACACACAAACACAAACACAGCACGCGCGACATAAGTACGCACACCCACGCACCATTTCTTAATGTCGCGAATGGCAGGCAGGGAGGACGGGTATTCAATGATGATATCAAACAGCTCGGCCACCCTGAGCGTCCCCAGGGCTTTGTACACCTCGAGTCGCATCTCCCGCTGTACGTCTGGCGAAGCGGGGGGGGGGGAGAAGGGGGAGAAGAGGGGAGGTGGCAGGGGCAAAGGGTGAAGGGTGATGCGACGGCGTGGTGGTGTGGACAAACGCTAAAGATGCAGAACATACACCCTCCATCTTTCCACTTCCCCATGCACGCAAGCTCCCATCCATCCATCCATCCATCCACGTGGGAACACGAGCACAACCGCGTGTTCATTTCATCCGCTTCCACAGGAACGTCCACAACTGAGACATGTGCGGTAACTGACACACTATGCATCATCATTCAGTGCTCACGTGCTGTGTTGTTTGTTGCTGATGGCGGCGCAAAGGCCGCGAAGAACGGCTGAATGACGGCATCGTGCCACGCAAGGAGATCCGGCAGCATCTCGTCCTCATACTCCTCGGCGCAGCGCTGCTGCACTTTCCTGTCGCACAACACACACACACATACATACGTGCAGTGGTGAGTGGGGTGCAGGTGCATGACTTGGTGTGCTCTAATGGCCGGTGCAGAACAAGCTTGTGTGTGTGTGTGTGTGTGTGTTTGCGTGTGTTTACGTATGTTTGCATCTATGAGTGTCGTGCTCGTGCGTCGACACACACACACACACACGCGCGTGCGCGAAAGCGGTCGCTCGCTGACCTGTTGATGACGGTGATGGCGACGGCCTTGAGCACGGGCAGCGTGATGACCGCATCCAACCGACACGCCGCCAGCAATGCATGCACGGCCTGGAGGTAGGCATTCAACGTGGGCGTGGGAACGCTACGGAGCGCCTTGGACACCGCATCACCCCCTTCGCGCTCGTCATCATCGTCCTCATCTTCATCATCACTGCCGCTGCCACCCTCCTTCTCAGTTTCTGTGTGCGTGTGCAACAAAGGCAGCAGAGACGCTTTGAGCCAACAGATGAACGGCTCAACAAGAGGTACAGGCGAGGCATGCTTGCGCCAGCTGATGCAGCCAGACACGCACCCCAGAGGATGTGAACGTGGACTGCCTGAAGGTCCTTGTACGTGGACACCGGGAACAGCAGTGACAACCCAGCCTGAACGCGCAATAATGCCGTTTCCATAGCTTCATCCGCAACAGCCCTGCACATGCGCATATATGTGTGTATGTTTGCGCATGAGCGTATGCGAGTGCAAGTGTTAGTGCAAGCAGATGTATGTGTCAGAGAGAGAGTGTGTGTGTGTGTGTGTGAGTGTGCAGGTGTGTGTGTGTGTGTGTGTGTGTGTGTGTAAGTGTGCAGGTGTGCCTGTGTGTGTGAGAAAATTTGACAACATGGGAGTAGATGTAACAACATGGGAGCGCGTACTTGCATTCAAATTCGAACAACCCAGCTCTGGCGAGCGGCACACGCCCTTCGCAGGCACTGACCTGTGGTTGGCAAAGGCCGATTGAAGCGACTGGATATGCCGTGTGACGCAGGCTGTGAATGATTGACATGCGCGCTCGCGTTCTTGAAATAGCGCAGCATCAATCCCCGCAGTGTCGGTGTCATTGCTGTCCAATCCCAGAACGACCAGCCGTGACACGTCCAGTGACTTGACCAGAGATTGCTGAATGTGATCTACGAAAACAGGACACGCAAGGACACGGAGGAAGCAAGTATTGCGGTGTGAGCATTTGCATGGCCGCGATGGGGGTTGGTTGTGTAGAAAGGCGCATCAGGGGGGAGGAGGTGCCTTGTGCGACGGCGACGACACGCAAGGTAACGCAGCATCCCATGCAGCACCCCCATGCAGCGCAACACAGTGCAGCGCAACGACAGCAGCGAGCACCGGCTTACGCGAGGCAAACTGGACGAGGAGTCGCTTTGCAGCGGGCTTCTGAGAGAGGGCCGTGTCCACTGCCTCTCGTAGTTGCGCGAGCCGCACCTCATGCTCCTTGCGCTCCCCCTCACTGCCACCAACCACGCCAAACCGCAGTGGCTCGGCCACACCAAACACCTGCCCCACCAGCGCAAGCGCGGCCTGCATCATCACTGTTGTCCACTCACAATCCACAATCAGATCCGTTATTCCAGCACGACACCATAAATTTTGGCAACGGATGCGCGGAGGACCTCATTGCTGCGTTGTCTGCTGTGCACCTGCCTGACCACATCCCCGCCGTCTGTCTGTCTGCAAGCACCCACCACATCCTCCCTCCTCCCTCCGTCTGCGTCAATGGTGCTGTGTTGTGCACTTGAGTGCGCTGCGTGTGCAGCGTGCTCGTGTTGCTGCGCCGGCATTCGGTACGTGCGGTGGTTTGAGTTTACCCAGTACCTCCTCCGGGTGAGTCATGTGGTGAGGTTGCCATGTGGGGCTGTGAGACCACTTGTTCGCGCTCACGACTGACGACATGGTTTGTGCTTTGCTGCACTCGCGCGTGTGTATGCTTCTCTGGGCCAACGGTTGGTCTGTGCAGGATGCTGTCCAGCGCTGGCGTGCGTCTCGTGTATGCCGTTCTCTTCCTTCTCTCGATCTCCGTCGCCTGGTTCATGCAGGTGTGTACATCGCGTGCCACGCGTGCTGCGATGATAATATGCGTTGGTTCGCCGTGGATCGTTGTGAGAATAGAGCACCTCAGCAACGACAGGCTTACATGTTTGTGTGTGTGTGTGTGTGCTCTGTATGTGTGCATGTGTGTGGTCTGTGCATGTGTGTGGTCTGTGTATGTGTGCATGTGTGTGCTCTGTATGTGTGCGCGTGTATGCGTGTGTGCTCTGTATGTGTGCCTGTGCTCGTGCGGCTGTATGTGGGTTGCAGTCGGATGTGATGCGAACTGCTCTTGAAAAGGCAGCAAACTCCACAGATGCGGTGTTCGATTTCAATTGTGGTGGACCGGGCCAAGCATCCTGCCTTGGCGCCATGGCCACGCTTCGTGTCATACTCGGTATGTATGAAAGAGAGCGAGTGTGTGTGTGTGTGTGCGCGCGCGCGCGCGTGTGTGTGCATGTCGCAGCTTGCATGAACGGAAACACTTTTGTGCAAAGTGCTTGTGGATCGTGCACATGTGGTGGAAGCATCTTTGGCATGGAAATCACAATGTCGCACCTCCTTCAGGCGTTGTGTTCTTCCACAGCCTGCTGTTGCTATGCACCATTGGCTCCCAGTCCCGCAATGACGTCCAAGGATCCATCCATTCAAGGTGGGCGCGCACGAGAGGTGGCTGTGTCTGTGCGTCCGTAAATGTGTGTGTGTGTGTGTGTGTGTGTGTGTGTGTGTGTGTGTGTGTCTGTGTGTGTCTGTGTGTGAAAGAACATCGCCACGTGTGCGTGCATGTGTGTGTGTGTGTGCGTTTATGTGTGCTGTGCATTGATGGGTTCATGTCAGGCGCTGGCTGGTGATGGCATTGCACCATGTGCAGCCCTCTCCATCTCCATCATCCTCTGCCGTGCTCACCCCATGTGCTTGCGTGTGTGCATGCATGATGCTGTCATTCGGCAGCTGGTGGCCCGTCAAGTTCCTGGTTCTGGTTGCACTGGTGGTTGCATGCTTCTTCATCCCAGATGGCTCCATCGCCCCCTTTTACTACGCGTGTTATGCCGGCGCCATCGTCTTTGTCATTGGTCACACCATCGTCCTCCTCGGTGAGAGAGAGAGTGTGTGTGTGTGTGTGTGTGTGGTGGTGTGGTGGTGTGTGTGTGTGTGTGTGGTGGTGTGTGTGTGTGTGTGTGTGTGTGTGTGTGTGTGGTGTGTGTTGTGTGTGTGTGTGTGGTGGTGGTGTGTGGTGGTGTGTGTGGGGTGGGTGTGGGTGTGTGTGTGTGTGTCTGTAAGTGTGGGTGTGGGTGTGTTGGCTTTCATTTCATTTTTGTCTGTGTGTCTGGGCCTGTGACGATTGCGTCAAGAAAGCTCTTGTCTGGCCATGAGAGTGGATTAGATCATCGACACCACCTTCATTGCACATGTACCCCACACCCTAACCCTACCCCCGCTGCGATGCCAGGTGGATCATACACGTGGGCAGAGACGTGGCGTCAGCGGGCGGACAACAGCCGCGCGTACACGTGTGGCTTGCTCTTCTTCACCGTCGCCTTTCTCGTCGCCATCATCATCCTCACCGTACGTTGGACGTGTGCACCCTGTTCCGATGTGGTTCGATTTGATTGTATGTCCATGGGAACACATGGGCAAGCAAAGCTGCTTTGGCGCTTGCACCTGCCCAGCACACGCATGCAACCTGAAGAACAAACGCCTGTGTGTGTGTGTGTTTGTGCGTGTGTGTGTGTGTGTGTCTGTCTGTCTGCCTGCCTGCCTGTCTGTCTGATGAGCTCGAAACACCGCCTTCGTTGGGTCCACATATCCACCCACAATTCATGCGATTGGTGCCAGGTGTTTATGTTTCTGCGCTTCACGGAGGCATCAGGCTGCGACTTGCAGAAGTTTGTCATCGCCTTTAACCTCATCCTCTTTGTGCTCGCGCTCGTCGCATCCGTCCTGCCAAAGGTCGCGCAGCACGAAACACCCCCGGCGTGTGTATGTGTTGAGTGGAGTGGAATGTAATGCAGTGTAGTGTAGTGTAGTGTAGTGTAGTGTAGTGTAGTGTAGTGCGTGTTAGGCACGCATGCACCTCTTGTTTCCTTGCGTGCTTTCTCACACAATGACCAACTCTCTTTCTACCACATGCACAGGTGCAAGAGTACAACGAGTCCTCCGGTGTGCTCCAGGTTGCGCTCCTCGGGTTCTTGTGAGTTGAAGCAGCCTGTACCTACAAGTGCATGTGTGTGCGAAACGTTTCTTATGGAGTATTTCTTCGTTTACCATCATGCATCACGTGTCATCCCTTATCACCCGTCTTACATCCCAAACCCACGCCGCCACCACCACCACCACCACCACCCACCAACAACATCAACAACAACAACAACAACAACAACAGCCAGACCTATCTGGTGTGGAGTGCGCTGAGCAGCCGCCCCATTGGTGATGGCGACTGCAACAACTTCTCAAACCCGGCACTTGCTCAGGTGTGTCACGTGGTGGTGGTGATGACGCTGTTGGTGATTGTAGAACTGATGAGACAAGAAGCATTGCGTTTGCTGGTGGTGGCGGTGCAGAGCTAAGCCACCCGCACTCGCTTATGTCTTGCCCACATTGCACTTTGGACGCCACACCGTCGATGGGATGCAATGAACTCCTTCACACACACACACACACACACACACACACACACACACACACACACACACACACACACACACACACACACATACACACACACACACACACGCGCGCGCACACACACACCCTCGCTTCCCCCCGCCCCCGCCCTGCTCCTCCAACAGAATGTGCCGATTTACACGGGCATGGCGCTGCTGTTCATGATCATCGTGTGGCACGTCACCAACGCTGGTCGGTTGCGGCTGCTGGGGCTGAGTGGTGGGAAGGGGATGGGGGTGGTGATGTTGCAGGAATACGATTTGCCCGTGCAGGAGTTACTGCTCTTGCCTCCGCGTGGATTGAAGTGGATAGCATTCACACATCATCACCCTCACACACTTCATACACACGCACACATTGACCTTCACACACACACACACACACTACATGCATACATACGCCTTTGCCCCCCCCCTTCTCACATACATACACATACAAACATAGGTCGGCGCAATCGCCAGAAGGAGAGCGCATATTCTGGTGAAGACCGGACAAAGTGGAATCAGGTATAACGTGATACTGTTAACTGTGTGTGCGCATGCTCTTGAGACTCGTTTATGATTCATTTGCGTGCACACCCGCGTGCGAAAACATGTGCGTACCAAAACAAGAACTGCCCTTGTCCCTCTTTCAACTTGTCTTGATCGTTCTGCTACAGGTCTACGTTGAAGAGCAAGACGAGGAAGCGGCCAAGACAGCGTCACCGGTATGGTGCCACTGCGTGTTCTTTGCACCGGTGCTCCATTTGTCATTGGCGGATGATGTCGTGTTGCGTTGCTGTGCAGCCCGTTGTTGCCTTGACGTGGTACGTGTGTGGTGGTGTGTGGCAACTTGGGTTGCGTCACGTCATGTTAACTTGGTGATTGCATGCGCCCATGCAGGAGTACTCGTACCCGATATTTCACCTGACGTTCATTCTCGCGGCAACATACGCCGCCATGGTCATCACAAATTGGAACAATTTCAAGGTGAACCTGCATGCCAAAGTGTGTGTCTGTGTGTCTGTGTGTGCGTGTTTTGTGTGTGCGCGCGCGCGTGTGTGTGTGTGTGTGTCTGTGTGTGCGGGACTGCATCGAGGGTCATCTGTCTGTCTTTCTGTCTGTCTGTCTGACAGCGTGCGTTGAAGTGCGTGCATGCACCTGTCTGTGGGCGTGTCGTGGACATCATCAGTGTCTTGCTTCTGCCATGTTGCGCCATTTTTCACATTGAACTCTTACACACCGTTGGCAAATCACACGCACACACCACAACCACAACCGTTCCCCATCCACCGTCATCGCGTTCAGCAAACGAACGACGTGTACATGCTTGACCAGACCAACATGGCGTTCTGGGCGCAGCTGCTGCTGTCATGGTGCGCGTGGGGCCTGCTGGTGTGGTCCCTTGTCGCGCCGTGCTGCTGCCCAAATCGCGAGTTCGGGGGCTCATCCACGCTCTGAACAACAGCCGCCACCTCCACCTCTGTGCTGCCATCATATCATTGGAGCTGTGGGGTTTAGGAGTGATGTGACTGTCTTCTGCCTCTTTTGTGTGTGTGTGTGTGTGTGTGTGAGTGTGTGTGTGTGTGTGTCATGCAACAGCCGCGTGAAACAGAGCAACGCTTTTGTTTCATATGCACGCCGCGTGACTATGAGTGTTATCTTACAACCTCTTCCTCGCTTATGTTCGTGTAAACCGGTTTTATCAGCGCAAGTCTGTGAAGATAGGTTGAGAAGTGTGTGCCACAACCATGGCAACTTGAACCAAGGGGGGTGGGGTCATGAGTGGTCAGTGAAGATGCCAAGCAACAAGTGGCACTGAAGCGGGGCTCATCCAGACGCGAAACTTGACATGACATGACATGACAACCCCCAAGATGGGCATGCAGGACGGTTGGGGAACGGGGGGACAGAGAGAGGGAGAAAGAGAACCATAAACTACAGGACTGGCCAGGACGAAACAGGTTGAAAGCATGCATAACGCGTAGTGTGCCAAACGTACACGATCACATCAAAGCAGATAGCGACTGCGAACGGTGCCAAACCATGGGTGCAGTACCGCAACTCTCTCGACAACCCACCACGTGGCACAACAAAAGCATGAATGGATGAAACAAACAAAATGAAAGCACGGGCACGGACGGCGGGTTGGCAATGAGGTCCTTGCTGTGGGCTACCATGGATGTGATACAACACATGGCAAGTTCACAGCTCATTTCGCAGCAAATGCGCTTTGCTCAGACCGTTGGGACTGGCGTGAACGTGGCGTCGAAGTAAAACTCCATGAGGAAGCCAACCACTGGTGGTTGCAACGACACAGAGGTCGGTGAGGATGCCAGAGTCGCAACCGAACGTGTGTGAGATAGTGATAGAGGTGCTTTTGACTTAACATCACATTCAATTGGGAAGCATGGCGAGGGAAAACAAAGGTGCATGAAATGATGCAACAACAACGCCATTGGCCACGGCTCGTGTTGGGGACAAGCATGTTCATGTGGCAAGTGCAACAACGTCGCACAACACACCTTCTTCAAACGCTTGGAACTCCATTTCATACTCTCCGGCGTCAAGGGAAACCGTCGCTTCTCGGCTAATGCAGCACTGGCCGCCTCCCTGTTGAAACAGCACACAACAACGAAACATGATGCAAGCAGTTGGTACAAAGGAAGCTTATGAGCAAAGTTCAAAGGATGCAAGGGAATGGTGCGCAGTGGTGTTATGGGTGTTGTACGCCAGTCAGAAACAGCACACAACGACAAAGCGTGATGCTACTGAAGCGCTGCATGCGATACGAACGTCAATGATCGTAGTCATCCCGTCGTTGGTTCCATATTTGCGATAACGGATCCAGCACTTGTCATCCACATGGCCTGTGGTCATGGCGATTGCCAAGGGACATGTTTGAGAGGGTTCGTGGTGGTGAACAAACACGAGGGAAGACATGCAGACGTACGCTGGCACGATATCTTGTGCTCTTCAACAGCCAGCCCAACCGAATCACGCATGTGCTCCCTTGTCTCCATCACCCCCCCCACACACACACACACACACACACACTCACACATGCACACACACATGAAAAACAAACACACGCTCTCTTTGTCTCTCTGTCGAAACTCCATGACGCACAGAAGAAGCGGTAAGTCCCGGCAACCAGCTTCACGCGCGAGCGAGCGTAGACGTTGAAATTGTCCTTGTCACCGTTGTCGGCCCGCAAGTACGTGCCAGAGTGGGTCGTGGAAGACCAGCATCCGGCTGTTGGAAAACCCGCAAGGACACGATGAGGATGCGACAACACACGCAAGGGTTGCGCAGGCGAAGCGCAGGTCATGTCCGTGAGCAACAGCTGCTGGCTGACGCATGCAGGGATAACAGCAGGCAGATGAGTCTCACCGCCAAAGGGGTTGTCGCCATTGCCGTCCACATACCACTGGTTTGCTCCGCAGCCATTGTTGTCCCAGCCAAGCTGTTATCGAGCGATTTGCAAACCGGTAAGCCAAAGAAGCAACAGTGTCAGTGAGCTGGGAGCGGGGGTAAGAAAATTTGACATCACATCACAAAGTAGTACGGTTGACGAGGCGGGAAGGGGGGGGGGCGCTGATCATTGGCCATGGTCACGTACCACTTGAATCGCACGCTCGCATGTTGGGGGAGAATCTTTGCGGCACTGTGTGACAATGCCGCTTGAGCAAGCGCAGGGCTTGCATGAGCCGTCCAGGTTGTTGCCATCATTGTAGAAGCCATCGGGGCAAGGCGAGCACTGGTTGGCTTGGGTTTCTGTGCACCATGCACTCACGTACTGGCCTGCGGTCCATGTATGTTGTGTATACACGTGAGCACATGCGTGCGTGCGTGTGTTGATGCCAGAGTGGGGAGCCTTGAAGCGACCGAGCCAGTTGTGAAGTGGATTATGGACATTCATCCATCGACACCCTCTCACGAACACACACACACACACACACACGCAAGCATCCATGCATAAAGAAACGAACGCACCTGCAGGGCAAGTTGTGAGGCAGCGAGCTGCAGCGTTGGTCGCATCAGTAACGTCGCCTGAGAGTCGCGTCTCAAGTGCGGTCGCCTCATCTCGGAGCACTTTGAGGACAGAGACGTCGCCTTCATCAACCTTCACACGCAAACATATTGTTGTCACCCAGGAATGTAAGTGAGATCAAAGTTCCGTATCGCAAAGTGCAAGGAAGCATAGCGCAGGTGTGCGCACACAGCACATAGGCCGCTTGAAGCGCAACCAGTTCAAACCAACCGCAGCAGCGGTGGCCGTCAAGAAGTCCGAGAGTGTATCGCCTGCGAGCGCCAAGGGCAAAATCATTGCATTCGCGATGAGTGTGTCAACCATGTATCTGAGGCGAAGCCAAACGTGAGTGGTTAAGCTGTAATGCACAAACATATGTGTGTGTGTGTGTGTGTGTGTTGGCAGGCATCGTGGCATATGCACGCACGCACTTGTTGGGGAGCTGGCATCAATCATGTTCTGGACGATGGTGCTGATGCCGCCATCGTTCTCGATGTTGTGAGCGATGATTTCCGTCACAGGACGTGTGATCTTGTCCACGCTCAGCGCCTCTGCGATCGCATCCTCAATCTCCACGTTTGTCAGCAGGCGACCGGACCTTCAATCGGTGTGGATTTGATTGTTTGGAGGTGAGCGCTGAAAAAGGTGCAAACCGTACCTTGCCACAAGGACACAGAACAACGTGGCACAGCAGGACAGACGCTTCGCCAAATTGATGTGAATTCACACCACAACTATCACAAGTGTCTCAACCCCCCCCCCCCCACCACACACACGCACGCGCACACACACTTGTTGTTGGGGGTGTTGTCGTCGGTCAAATACGCAACTTCCACGACGTCGTTGTCATACACGGCCAGGCGAAAGGAAGCATCCATCGCCTCGATGCGTGGGCGCTTCTCTGTAAGTATACACAATGATGGTTAGTGAAACAGGCACAGGGGATGAGCACAGGGGATGATGTAGTTGCCCAAGTCAGCGTATGTCGTTTCAGAGAACAATGCAACGCGCCACGATTGTGTGTTGAACGCAACATGCCCAACATGAAACCACAACACACACGCATACACACATATATGCAAACTGCTCGATCAGCCATGTGCTGTGCGCATTAGAATAAACAAACAAAACGGCCACATACCTTGGCACAACGGAAGCTGGCCCAGAAAGTGGGTGGTGGTGTGGCATGTGAGGGTTGTGGATGCGCCCGCAACATGCTGTGTTGCATTGCACGACACAACGCAGACGGCGTTCGCTTCGACACTACTGCAGTTGTGGGCCATAAAGGGAGGCATGCGGCCAAAGGTTGCTTCGAGGGTGGTCTCATCACAGACGGTCGTGGCTGCCGACATTGGGATCAGCGAGATGCCGACGATCGCCAGCACAACACAGGTTGCAGCCATCATCACAGCAGCACCTGAGCTGCGTGCCTTGGTCGTCGTCGTCATCATCACGGTGGGCGACTAAGGAGAAGGGGGAGAGCGCAAGAAGAGAGAATAATGCGTGTTGTGGCAGGGGGGTGGGTACTCGTTTACAACAATTTCGGGCAAGGGTACAAGAGCTAGGGGCAACAGCCGTGGGGAAAAACAAACAACAATCCCACCAGAATATTTTTTGTTTATTCACAACCCCGCCTTGCTGTCAATTTTGACAGGCACAAGTATGATGACTCATTATTTACACTTTTTGTGTTGTCGCGACCAGCTCATCCGGCACGGCACGGCACGCAAGCAGCAGGCAGTGAGTTGTGTGGTGGTGATGAAGATGATGATGAGCAGCAGCGACCACCGTGCCCACACGCATGCCTGCCCAGCTTGATTCTGGCTGTGTGTGTGTGTGTGTGTGTGTGTGTGTGTGTGTGTGTGTGTGTGTGTGTGTGTGTGTGTTTGCGTGTGTGCGTGCGTGTGTGTGTGTTTGCGTGTGTGCGTGTGTGCGTGTGTGTGTGTGTGTGCTGTTTACTGTGTTTGCTTCGCTCACGTTCGCACCATTGCATTGCTTCCTGCTGCTGCTTCATGTGCCAGTGTTGCAATCCCTGCTGACGAAGACGCTCAAGCAGCATCTGGCGTGAGTTCTTCCCAATGGTCGATTGAGGGATTGATGTTATCAAGGGGAAAGGGGAGAAGGGAAGGCTCTCATAGCTCTGGCAAAGGAATCAAGGAAGGCTTTCACTTTGCCAAGCCAGTGTGATATGGTCGCTGTGTGTGTGTGTGTGTGCCTGTCTCTGAAGTACGAGCTCCTCACTGTATGCGTGCGCACTAACCCTTGCGTGTTGATTGCATGCCTCCATGCAGCCCATACCTGGAAGGGTTTGATGCAGACCAGCTGGATGTTGGCGTGCTCAAGGGGGAGATTGTCTTGCATGACCTCAAGCTCAAGAGCACCATCCTGGCTGACCTGGACCTGCCAGTGCAGCTGCACAAAGGTCGTTGACTGTTTCCCACTGACCGCACGCATGCTGCTCTGCGCAACCCCACTCACGGCCTGCTTCCTGCTCAACATTGCTGAACGCGATGTATGGCGACAGGCAGCACAGCGCACTCACTTCCACATGCTCGCCCTTGCCACCCCTCCCCCTCCCCCAAAAACAACAAAACAAACCAACAAATCCCCGAGTTGCTCACATGAACATCCGAACAAACGTTTTTGCTGCTTGTGACTCGCTGCTTATGACTCGCTGCTGCACCCGCCACTCACAGGGTATGTGGGCACGCTGAGGCTGAAGATACCGTGGAAGCACCTCTTCCCAACACCATCCAAGCCTGTCATCGCGCAGGTGGAGAACATCTTCATTGTTGTCGGCCCAAATCTGGACCAACCGTTTCGCAAGGATGTGCACGACAAGAACGAGCGCGCACGTAAAGACTCTGCCATTGCTGTCTGGGAAGAGGAGTGGAAGCAGGCGCACATGACCGAGCAAGAGAAGAAGGCCAAGGCCAGCTTCACAGAGAAGCTTGTTGCCTCCATCATCAACAACTTGCAGGTCGTGCACCAGCTGACAGCGCTAGTGCTGTGCTTGCCGAGCCTCTTTGATAGTTCCGCTGGGGTTGGTGTGTTAGTGCTGGGGTCGGTGTT